ACACTTACCCCCAACCCTTGGGATTGGGTAGACTTAGCTCGCATCTGCGATTGAGTGTTGTGGTTGCATGAAAACCACAGATGATGATTTGCTCGGGCGCGGGTAAGTTTATGGTGACCTTGGCGCCATAAATAATTAACCGGAATTTTCATATCATGTATTGATAATGTGTTCGTGAAACTATGTGATTATCATATTGGTTAAATTGGTTCGATGAAAATGAGTAGATGGATTTGGTATATTGATTGATGATTCATATATGATGACCTAGGATGGCATTTAAACAACTGGATTGTGATTGAATATGACTACATGATTAGTTGATTGTGGTCCCAAAACTAGGTCGTGGGAAAGATCCACACGCCAACTTAGTAGTTGACCCAATTCTGTTCAGTTTCTTATGGGTCCAAAGGAGTTGAGAGAAACTCTGGCATGCACAATGATCGATGGAGGATCGGTTTTGAAGTTTTCCCAGATTTTGAAATGATTCTCATTTATGTTTTACGAGTTGATGATTTGGGTATGCATAGTAGATGATACCGTATTGAGCATAGTAGTGAATGACACTTTGATTTGGCTTAAATGAAATAAAGGAACTAGATCGAGTTGATCTTTAGTATATGATAAGTATTTGAGAATTTATTTTTTTGGATGACGGATTAAAACGATGTTGGTATGTGTTACCCCGATACAGATTCCACTGTGCGAGTGAACCATTGGTTCAACCCAAGAGTTTTAGGGTGGGGTTTTACATGAACTGCTAAGGTTTACATACCTATGCTACTAAGCCTGCCATGGGAAGGGGTTCCTGGGTGTTCATCAATTGAAACGAAGACACCCGAACACCCACGGGAAATGGCGCCAACGGTAGAGAAAACAGGCCCAGGGTTATTGTTTTTGGTGCTGTTTCTCCCTAGTAGGTTGGTCTCGTTCTAATTATGAGGGTTGTTCCGTAGGCACAGTAACGAACCTTCCTTGACCTCTCGTCTCTCTCCATATTTCTTATCTCTAGAGACCTATTTATAGTTCTTTTTTAGGCTTTCTAGGAGATAAAACCACAACTCCATCATCATTAAGCCAATCAAGATGCTCCAAATACGTGACTAGTGAATTAGGAGGTTTCAAGATGACGTTCTGACATAGTGGTTGGCTTTAGTAAAACCCCGCCATTTCCATCGTTTCTCTTCATCAAAACAGTGCTTTAGGTATCCTTTCTTATAGGCGTCATGTCTTTGAATCCCAACTCCAGAAACTGGATTTCGATGTCCCCTATGGCTTCTAAGTGGTCCACCAGTCTGCTTAGACTTGAAAATGCACAAAACACTACCAAAAGTGTATCAATCCTATAAAAGCAATAATAGGGTTGCTAAAACACACTTGAAGCAATCATAGCAAAATTTCAAGGTATTATGACGATAATGATGGGAAATGTATGCACTTTGGGTCATAATACGTGAGTGTAGAATATATACTTTTACGTGTCATCAAGAAACTCGTATGTTGTCGGGATTTATGTTATGAGTCTAAAGAACTCTAGGGGGAGCTTGCTTGGTCAACACGTTGTCCTTTTGCTTCTTCCACTCGACACTAGCTATAGATTTACTTTTCTGCCTTGTTTTCCTTTTGATTTTGTAAAACCAAGGGAAACTTCAACCCCGGAGGTCGGAAGTGCATCAACCTCCATAGTCGCAATTTAACACTGCAGAACTCGTCCCTCGCCCCCCTAGTAAGTGGTTGGGGGAGACCCTAGGGAAATTTGACCACTCTCTACAACGTGATCTCTTCCTTATAACACCTAAATTATGGGTTATTGGCATTCCATATCTAGGATTCTTCATGGCTTTATTGAGCTTAATTGATTCTTAACCTTGTATTTTAGCCTAGGATTGTTTCATATTGTATATTGACAGATCTAGGCATGCAATGTGATAGTTTAGGAGAATTGAAGTTGAGTTTGCGCTCTTCCGTAAAAAGATCAAAATCAAGATAGTCAAAGGTCACCCTAGAGTTTCTTTAGACACGTATAAGGAAGATATGCGAAATATATATAAGATTATTGAAGGAATTCACACGGATTCCTCCTCTCACTATGTTCTCGTATCATACCATATATTGGTCGATGTCTCATTTGAAGATGGACTAGGGTGACACGTGGGTCAGCCAACCAGTCATGCTTGTCACAATTACCCTATCCCATATATTGGCTGCCAAGCCTTTCATTGATTTTGGTGTGCAATCAGTCATGAAGTTCTCCTTGTTACAATTCATCCATATGACACTCATTTGTCGGAACAAAATAAACAAACTATACAAAACTATTAGCTAAACCATTTTAATCAAAACTTAGCATTAAATTGTTTTCATTTAGGCACAAAATGTTGGTATGATGCATAAGACTCAAGAGTAGTCCTACCCATTCAAACACATCTAGATAGGAAAAAGGGAGAATCCCTATCATCCAACACAGATAGAATGCCTCGATTTGGATACATGTATTAGCATAATGAAATTTCCTATCCTAGTAGAGTTAAGCACAAGAGCAGTAACATACCTTTCATGGAATGCACAGTGGCTATCCCACACTTTAGAGATTTGACTATCAAACATATTAATAATAAAGCATGCATAATGTGCATTCAAAATTATGTATCAAACTTCAAATAAACATTTAGTTAGATCACAATGTGTGAAACAAAACAAAAATAACTGCTTTGAAGCTCCTAAAGTAATCATACGCACCTTACAATCAAGTGATAAACCATGAAAGTTAAGAAACACAAATTATGGTGTGAAATGGCCTCTTACTTCTCCATAATAGCCTTGACCTCCTCCTCTTTTGAATTTTTTTTAGAGTTCAGTACTAGGAGGAGAATATTTATATAGGAAGTAAAATCCTTTTCTATATTTTGTAAGGATTTCTCATGCTGTTTCCTTTTTCCTTTTTCCTTAGTGAAACGGTGTTCCCTCGAGGTTTCTGTTGAGAAAGGACTCAAGGACTTGTCTAAGGCCCTTAGGAGACTCTTTGTTGGATTTTGATTGACTGGAATCTCTTTTCTCCATGTTTTCAAATTTTAGCTACTCTGAAACATTTTTGGCGACCCATATAGTAGGGTAGTCCATCATTTTTAGATTAGGTCCAAAAATGGTGTTTTTCTTCATGTATGTCATTCTTTCCTTGCTTCTACAAAATAGAATATTGAAGCATACTAGGTCAAGATTGTCATGAAGATTGGTTTGGAACATCAAATTCGATAGAAAGTGGCTTTGTTACTGGCTATAGATTAGCATGGTCATCCAAGAAAGTCATCTGGGGACGAGTCAGATTATTCTTAATGCCATGTTAACACCATGGATATCAACACCAACGTGGGACAAGCAACATCCACCAATTTCTTCTGTTAGTCAACACTTCCTTCATGAATAGTTCATATTGTGGCATTTATTCAATGGATTCATTGAAGGGTATGTTGATATTGATTTGCCATGTTACACTAAAAATCTGCAAAAACTAGTATGCATGTTTCTACTTACCTGCTCTGTAAAAGCTTGAGTAAGCAAAGCCAACAGAGCTGGGATTTTAACTACTTAGCCATCCCTTCTTGCTCATATAATAATGTGGTATGATTTTCAACATCTTTCACTGGTTAAAGAGCTATCCTGATCCCCAATGTTTTAGTCATGCGCGCCATGGAAGCTCAATACTCTATTGTAGCTGTCGTGAGTTGAGGGACATTTATGTTTGCAAATTGGTCAAGTTTTTTAATCGTTGGAGATTTTAAACTCTTGTGGAACTAGTGTGCATGTTGCTCCAAGATAATCCATATGATATGGGCAAGATTGAAGTAGCTTCTTCTACCGAGCCCATGCATCACCATCCTCTTGCTTGAATCTTACAATATGGTCTTTTATCTTATCATGCTTCCATGTGGGAAGTATTTCTCTAAGAAGGATTAAGCGAAAGGTCTAGCTAGATGAGATTACAATCAATCATTTTCTTTTTCTTTCAAGGAGAAAAGAAAGAGTAGGGATAAGAGGCATTTTTCAGAAGATCATATCGTAAAGAGAGAAAAACATAAAGCTTATTTTGAGAAAGAGTTTTGAATGGAGCATGAAGGAGTGCTTCTCCTAAGCTTCTCTCCTCGAATTCGAAGAATTATTTGAAGAAGCAGATTGAAGAGAAGAAGGAGATCTCCCTCTCCTTCAAAAGTTATAGTTCTTGACATATTGATAAAATTAACTCGAACCCTTAGCTTGATTTTCTTATTGTGGATGCATCAACCATATTTCTATTAATTGATTTTTCATCTTTTTTATCCATCTATCTTGATGAAGAGGTGGGTACTGTGTTTTTTTCTTACCTTACAGCGAGAAATTCAATTAGCTCAAGGTGAACACACTTCTGTTTGTGTTGGATTGCAATTACTTGACCATAGAGTTGTGATTTCACTTGGTTGGGATAAAACACGCTAGAGGAGTCTAGATTTAGCACTTTAGGTGTGTAATTGGTTGCATGATCATTGAGGCAATTTGTGAATTTAGAAGAGTCATTGAATACATGAGCATTTATTCAATTGGTAGTTCAAGATTCCTCAGCATTATATGAAATTAGGGATAAATGCATTAGATTTCTTATAATTTGACTGTTACCTAGGGTTAGGGGAATTCTTATATCAAGCAATGCAGTCAAAGTCTAACTTCTTGGAAATGGAATAACTCTAGTGCAAATATCTAGACTAGTCGCATGATGGTGATCAATAACTATCATAGATTATGGACATCATGTTCTCCATCAACTGTTTGACTAGCTCGTTTAGACAGAGGGTAAACCCATCAAATGATCTGAGTTGAGCACACAACTGACGAGACGCTTGTAAATAAAAATAGAAACATAATACAACAAGAATAAAAGAGAAACATAATAATTATCATTATTAAGAAATATAAAATATTTTCTCATCATTTTTAGTTTTCTCTCTCTTTCAAACTCTGTAATATGAATACAAAATTTCATTCTTTCTCGTTTTCTATCCTTCTCTCCCTTGAATCATCATCCGTGGAGAAATCATCCAATTTTTTTCTTTCCTCCACGGATTTGATAACTTTGTTTCATTTTCTTGACCTCTTCCTTAATTCATGAAACAACAATATCCTTGTTTTTCCTTCAATTGCCTCCCTCTTCATTTACTTTATACCCTTTTGTTTTATTTTTCCTCTCGATAAGCTCTTTTGGGGGGGAATTTACAGGTTTCGTGTAAAGTTTTGAGTAAAAGTGCAATGCATTTTTATTTTTGCAGACAATTGTAGGTTAAAGAATATAAATTATTACTGGTTGTTTAGGGGTTTTTCCAGAAGATGCACGTTTATGTCGCTTGTAATGTATATAGTTGTAGACATTCATAATTTTTTCTAACCTTATTTTAATGGTTAGAGAAGCAGTTGCAAGAGACAAGCCGAAACTCAAATTTTACAGAAAAGTGTAGGTTTTGGCTAAAACTTTCTTGATATTTGGGAGGGGGGTGGATATTACATTTTATATACAAAAGAAGGAAACAAAAATTTGTAAACTCAATTTTTTTCTTAATAAGGTTCGTTTAAATTCTTATATAGATTTATTGAAAGATGGGGGCAATTTCGAGGACTATTTTTCCTGCATGTGAAAGCTTGTGTTTCTTCTGTCCTTCATTGAGGGCAAGGTCGAGACACCCTCTTAAACGCTACAAGAACTTGCTTTCTGATATATTTCCTCGATCCCCAGTAAGTTACTCTCATTTTTCCTGAAATTTTATACTTTTTGGTATCCCCATTTGAGCATTGGATTCTTTATAGTTAGATTTGTGGCTAGCCACATTGAATAGGTGAGGGTAAATAAACCTAATGAAGATTATCTCACATATTTTGGCAGGATGAGCAACCAAATGATAGAAAGATTGGTAAATTATGCGAATATGCTTCTAAAAATCCTCTTCGAATCCCAAAGGTACATGCTTATTTCCATAATGTGGAAAAATAAAATAATTCAATGTGTTTTTTACTTGGAAACAGAAGAAAAGTCATGTGAAAAATCGTGAGCTTCTTCATTTTGTTTGATTCGTGTGTTGAAAGCTAACTAGTTAGTAAAACACGCATATTATAAGTATTTTATTAGTGTGTGACACATAATAAAAGTCATATAATTGGAATCTAGTACGAAGAGGAATGATAATGGGTTCTTTGGATTTCCTATTTCCAAAATATGCATCATGGTTAGAATTTCCTATTTTAATAATATGGTCCTCTATTTGCCTTGGTTTGCTTCACTTTGGAAGTAAAATATTTTTGGCGTATGCATAATGTGGCTTTTCTAAGTACTTATTAATTTTTTTTAATAGATCACGACTTCGTTGGAGCAAAGATGTTACAAGGATCTGAGAAATGAGCAATTTCACTCAGTGAAAGTCGTTCTATGCATATACAGGAAATTATTGATTTCTTGTAGGGAGCAGATGTGAGTTACCTTTCATTGCATTGCATTAGATCAACTTTTGTAACAATTTCCGGTTGAAGGATTTGCTTGTTTAATCTTCAGGATTTTGCACATAAAACTATGTACAGAAAGAAAGTTCATTATACTTGATGCATAATGCATATTCTTATAATGGCGTAAAGCTCATAACTGCATGTTCCAAAAATTAACCCATCATTGATAATTCCTACATGTAATGGATTTTGTTAAATAATTAACAAGATTTTGCTAACCTTATGGAAGTGGAAAAGAGTGGACATAGTTATGCTAACAAATCAAGCCTTGATTTATCGAAAAGAAATGTTATGTAATTGGAATTCTGGTTTACGTGATTTTCATGATTTGGCAGGCCATTGTTTGCAAGTAGCTTACTCGGAATTGTTCACATTCTATTGGATCAAACACGCCATAATGAGATACGAACATTAGGGTGCCATGCTCTATTTGACTTTGTAAATAACCAGGTAGGGGTATTTACTGAGATTGCATGGAGTCCTAAAATGAAGGATCATTCCTAGCTAATTGGGTATCAAATTTATTTTTACAGATAGATGGCACATATGTCTTCAATTTAGATGGTTTAGTTCCAAAACTGTGTGCTTTAGTACAGGAGATGGGGGAGGATGAGAAGATAAATGAACTTCGGTCATCAGGGCTTCAGGCTCTTTCAGCCATGGTAATGCATCCATTCTAGCTACTATAATAAGGTCACTCATAGCTAGTTATGGTATCTAATTGGAAATGGTAGTACCCTTCTCTCATATTTAGCACAATAAGTTGCAATATAACATTTGGTTTCATATAATAGGTGTGGTTCATGGGCGAATTCTCTCATATTTCAGCAGATTTTGACAATGTAAGTGAATTTAATCGATGCCTCATATCTTATAGCCAACTGGTTTATGTGTTGTGGTTGTTCCTTGAAAGAATCAAAGGGATTTGTAAACCATGATATATTTTTATGCTAGAATTCAAGGTTGTGAAGTAAACACTCAGCTATTATATATAAATATTGTTTAGCTCATATATACCATAGACTTATTTCATTACCTCACATGCTTACTTCTTTCTGATGCCCAGGTTGTCTCTGTTGTCTTGGAAAATTATGAAGCACAAAAAGGATCAAATAATGAAATGATGAACACAAACGTTGAACAAAGTTCCCCTTCTCCCAACTCTGTGACAACCATCCCCTCGTGGAGAAGCATTGTTAGTGAGAATGGAGAACTAATTAACATATCTCTGTAATTACTCTTTCACATTATTCTAACTTCTTGCACTTATCTAGTTTGGCTTGACTCTTTCTTCATCATAATTCCTTGTCATTTTAAAAAAATGAAGGGAGGAGTCCCAAGCTCCCTCATTTTGGTCCAGAGTTTGTTTGCGGAACATGGCTCAACTAGCAAAGGAAGCTACGACTATGCGACGTGTTCTTGAATCTTTGTTTCGCTACTTTGACAGTGGTGATTTATGGGCTCCTGATGATGGTCTTGCCCTCTCTGTACTATTGGATATGCAATCAATAATTGAGTATTCTGGTATTACCTGATCCACTACTAACATCATATAAAATATGTCCTCCTATTGAAGCTAAATTGTTTTAGAACCATTTGCAGGACATAACACACATTTTGTTTTGGCCATCCTAATCAAGCATCTTGATCACAAGAATGTTCTAAAGAAGCCTACCATGCAACTCGACATTGTTAGTATTTCCACTTCTCTTGCTCAAGCAACCAAGCCCCAACAGTCTTTAGCTATTGTTGGCGCATTGAGTGACATGATGAGGCACCTTAGAAAAAGCATACACTGCTCCCTAGATGATTCTGCTCTGGGGAATGAAGTAATAGAGTGGAATCGTAAATTTCAAGAGGCAGTGGACGAGTGCCTTGTACAATTATCACAAAAGGTAATTAACCCTGTCTTCATAATAAAACTTGGTTAAACATTAGTGAGTCCATTAAAGGATATATATATATATATGGATAAACCCCAGTCCCTAGTTTTCTAACCCAAATCATGAGATTCGTTTAATCTTGAAATGAAAATCAACAATAATTTCGACGAATCAAAACCGTTGATTTTCATTTCAAGATTAAATGAATATTATGCTTTGGGTTAGTGAATTGCGGATTGGAGTTCACCCATTAGGGGTTAGGGTATAATATCATGCCCCAAACTCCGGTTAATTCATGTCTAAATAGCAAAACTCAATGGGCGTACGGTAGGCTAGGGTACGTCCGGACGTACGCTAGCCTTTACTATATATATATATATATATATATATATATATATGGTGATGACTGGTGTGCGTCAGGCGTATAGTATACGTCAAGCGATCTAGCCGTCAGGCATATATATATATATGCATGTACATTAAATGGGTTAGGCTACTATGCTCCCGGAGTATACAATACTTTAGGATCTTTAGTGAGATATCTCTATCTAGACCATGAATAAAATCGAGCTTCGAGTATGGTACTATACACTGGATTCTAATGAATGAAACCCAAGCCCGTAATCTCAGAACCCAAACCCCAAGTTCAATTTAATAAAATATTATTATCGATGATTCTGATTCGTTGAACACTCATCCAAGCACATCCAACGACCTAATCACTTGGAGTATGGTATACTGCAAGAGTACACCAGTATATATATATATATATATATATATATATATATATATATATATGTGTGTGTGTGTGTGTGTGGCAAAGGCTAGCGTACGTCCGGGCGTACGCTAGCCTATCATACGCCCCATTGAGTTTTGCTATTTTGACAAAGAATTAATCGGATTTTGGGACATGATACTATACCCTAACCCCTAATGGGTGAATCCCAGCCCCCAATTCACTAACCCAAAGCATGAGATTCGTTTAATCTTAAAAATGAAAATCAACGATTCTAATTCGTCAAAATTTTCTATGGTTTTCATTTTAAGATTAAACGAACCTCATGGTTTGGGTTAGAAAATTAGGGACTGGGGTTCACCCATTAGAGGTTAGGGTATAGTATCATGCCCCAAACTCCGATTAATTCATGATCTATATAGCAAAACTCAATGGGGCGTACGCTAAGGCGTACGCTAGCCTGAACCATATATATATATGGTGGCTTCTATTGTGTCGTGGGTAAAATCTAGGATATGACATCCCTCAGTAAGAAAACGCTATCTAGATCTCGAATTAACTGGATTTTGGGACATGATACTATACACCAACCATTGATGAGTGAACCCTAGGTCTTAGTTTTCTAAATCATAGAGCCTAACCCCTAAGATTGTGCATGGAGTTTGTTGCATAAATTTTGATGAATCATAACCGTTGATTTTTATTTCTAATTAAATTGATCTTAGTATATGAGATTTATAGAATTAAGACCTAGATTTTGATCTTAAGTGTTTGGGAATAGTACTAGATGCCAAACTCTGGTCAATTCAAGGTCCATGTATCATTTTCTTACTCAATGTATGTCATATCTTTGATTTTACCCAAGGTTTGATAGGACCACCCATATATATATATATATGTATGGTGGCTTCTATGGTACCCCGGGTGAAATCCAGGGTGCCGTATACCTTGAGTATGAAAACACTATCTAGACCTCGAATTAGCAGAATTTTTGGGCTTGATACTATACCCTAACCCTTAATGAGTGAACCCTAGGTCCTAATTATCTAAATCATAAACTATAAACCCTAAGATGAAGCATTCATCTTTTTGCCTATATTTGGACGAATAATAGCCATCGATTCTTGTTTCTAATTAAATTGATCTTGGGGTATAAGATTTAGAGAACTAAGACCTAGATTTTGATCTTTAAGAGTTAGAGTATGACATCATGTCCAAAAGATCAATCAATTCAAGGTCTAGATAGCGTTTTCATACTCAAGGTATGCTGTACCCCGGATTTCACCCTGGGTACCGTAGAACTCACCATATATATATATATATATATATATATATATATATATATAATATGGTGCCTTCTACGGTATGCCCGGTGAAATCCAGGGTACCGCATACCTTGAGTATGAAAACACTATCTAGATCTCGAATTAGCAATGAACCCTATGTCCTAATTATCTAAATCATAAACTATAACCCCTAAGATGGTGCATTGATTTTTTTGCCTATATTTGGACGAATCATAACCGTCGATTATTGTTTCTAATTAAATTAATCTTGGGGTATAAGATTTAGAGAATTAAGACCTAGATTTTGATCTTTAAGGGTTAAAGTATAGTATCATGTCCGAAAGATCAGTCAATTCAAGTTCTGGATAACATTTTCTTACTCAAGGTATGCGTTTTCTTACTCAATGTATGGGTCAGACTGGTGTACTCCTAGAGTATACTACTCCATGTACTCTTAGTGAGATATCTCTATCTAGACCATGATTTTAACCGAGTTTGGGGTATGATACTGTACCCTAACCTCTAATGGATAAATCTCAGGCCCCGATTCTCTAAACTCAAACCCGAAGTTCAATTAAATGGAATTTTATAATTGACCGTTGAGATTGGCCAGAGCTCAAAAAAGTACATCTAACGACTAGATCATGAGGAGTATACTATACTCCTGGAGCATACTAGTCTTTACCATATATGGGTCATATATATATATATATATATGGTGCCTTCTATGATACCCCGGGTGAAATCCGGGGTACCGCATACCTTGAGTATGAAAACGCTATCTAGACCTCGAATTAGCATGATTTTTGGGCATGATCTTATACCCTAACCCTTAATGAGTGAACCCTAGGTCCTAATTATCTAAATCATAAACTATAAACCCTAAGATGGAGCATTACTTTTTTTGCCTATATTTGGACGAATCATAACCGTCGATTATTATTTCTAATTAAATTGATCTTGGGGTATAAGATTTTGTGAATTAAGACCTAGATTTTGATCTTTATGGGTTAGAGTATAGTATAATGTCCGAAAGATCAGTCAATTCAAGTTCTAGATAGGGTTTTCTTACTTAAGGTATGCGGTACCCCGGATTTCACCCGGGGTACCGTAGAACTCCCCATATATATATATATATATATATATATATATATATATGGTTCTATCATACGCCAGGCAATCTCCACCATCCGCGTCCATCTCAACGGCCAGCGTAAATGAGGTAATTTATTTTTTATTCTAAAAAAAGAATCTGCATTAATGCTGGCCGTTGAGATGGACATGGACGATGGAGATTTGCTGGTGTACGACATACCCTAATATATGTATGGTGTACGATAGAAGTTACTATATATAAAGATGGTTCTATCGTACACCAGGAAAAAATCAGTATATGTCGTATGGTGGAGATTGTCTGCTGACCGTTGAGATGGACGCGTATGGTGGAGATTGCCTGGTGTACGACATACACCAGCTTTTTCCTGGTGTACAATAGAAGTCACCAAACATATGTGTGTGCGCGTGTGCCGCTCCCACTAAAATAAGATTTTTGTTTCTAATCACACTGATGCTTTCCAATGACAGGTTGGAGATGCAGATCCTATTCTTGATGTGATGGCTGGAATGTTGGAGAACATGTCAACCATTACAGTCATGGCAAGAACCTTAATTGCAACTGTTTATCGTACTGCTCAGATTGTTGCAGCCATTCCAAATTTATCCTATCATGATAAGGCAACATTTAACTTCATTATTTACTTCTTTGTTGATTGACTTGAATAATTTTTCCATGTTTCATTGACTTGATATTTTCCCTTGAAATGTGTAGGCATTTCCCGAAGCATTATTTTTCCAGTTACTTCGAGCGATGGTCTATGATGATCACGAAACGCGGGTGGGTGCACATCGTGTATTCTCTGTTGTTCTTGTCCCATCCTCTGTATGTCCTCGTACCGGAAATGGTTCTGTAATAGCAAACAAATCAGCAGATATCCAAAGAATGCTTTCAAGAACAGTATCTGTATTTTCTTCCTCAGCTGCACTCTTCGAAAAGCTAAAACGAGAATCAAATTCCTCTATAAAAAATACCAAAGATGAAAGCAAGGATAAATTTATGGATTGTTATGATGGTCCTATGAAGAATTCTCCTTCTATGATGAGTAGATTGAAGTCCTCATATAGTCGAGCTTATAGCATACAGGAGCCTACTCCACCACTGCCAGGAGATTTGAGTACTATGAGTGTTACAGAGAAAGAACAGGTAAGGCTTTATATTCTTGGCATTAAAAAGTTCAGTTTGATTTTTTCTTTCATCTAACCCAATTTCTTTTGTGGAATGAGTTCATGATAGATAGTATCCCTTAGGTTGAGTAGTCGGCAGATAGGACTTCTACTTTCATCAATTTGGGCACAATCCCTCTCACCTCTTAACACGCCTGCAAATTATGAAGCCATTGCTCATACTTATAGCCTGACATTGTTATTTGCAAGAACTAAGGTTAGCTATGCTCTTCCCTATAGATACTCATGTCATATACATCATTAATGTTTTCTAAGGGAATATGAGAAACACATATTTGTTTCCCATTTGATGAAATTTTGTATTGACTTTTCATTATTGTTTATGATGTAAACTTAAATGTTTAATGATGTTTCAAATTAATTTTTTGGGTTCACTTAAAAATTATGTCATGCAGAACTCCTCGAATGAGACTCTAATTCGGAGTTTCCAGCTTGCATTCTCTCTAAAGAGCTTTGCACTTGCAGGAGAAGGAGGTAAGACTTACTCTCAAGGTTTATATATGAACAGAGATATCTCCTAAGTCATCCTACATATAGTCTATGTCTGTTTAAACAACATGTCTATTACTTAAGGTAGCTTAGTATTGTAAGAACGTGATTAAGTTTCAAAGTCTATTTGTCATTGATGTCACATGTTCTAGTCCTCACGGCCCCCAATATTAATCATTGCCTTAAAGCACATGGCATATGAGGCATGTGCAAATTTCAAGCACATCAGTTGGCTTTCATTTGAGGGGGGCGTGTAAGGAAGTGATGAAGATCCATACATGGACCTCTCCCAACAACTCGAGTAATTGGGGACAGTTGATTTTTGACAAGTATTTCATCTTCATGGCTGACAAAGGATTTTGCATCATTGTAGGGAGATTAAAGCCATCACGTCGTAGATCATTGTTTACCCTAGCATCATCTATGATTATTTTTACATCCAAAGCCTACAACATTCCTCCACTTGTTTCCACCACTAAAGCTGCAATGACAGAGAAAACGGTATCTCTTTAGCCTATCTCTCACTGCTATCTATTTCATATGAGATCCATTGTAGATTTTACATCTTTTAAACATTCTTCATGTATCTTTCATTCCATAACTGGAATTAAGATTTAGTAGAGCATAGAATCGAACTCTTAGAACAAGACATTTACTTTCCTTTATGTATCTTTTATTATTTTGAATACTATTTTATAGGCCGACCCATTTCTCCATTTGGTTGATGATAGCAAGTTACAAGCGGGTAACATGGATATAAATCAACCAAATAAAGCTTATGGCTCCAAGGAAGATGATGAGCAAGCAAAGAGGTCACTTTCAGCGATCGTAACATCAGAGAGTCAATCTAAAGAAGCATTGACATCTATGATAATAAAGTTTATTAGACTACCATCCAATGTACTCCTCGTCAACAAAAAAAATTCCAATCAAAACTTGCTTTTAATCATGAAAATTCCATGCTAACATTGAATTCTTGCATAGGAAGAGCCATCCATGCGACAACAGTTACTTAGTGATTTTATTCCACACGATTCATGTCCTCTGGGAGCTGAATTGTTCATGGATGTACAAGAAAGCAAGTCGATACCAAAAGAAACAAAAAATGAACAATCTGACAAGGTACATACTTATTTTCAATTTCAGTTGATTTCACATATATCAGGACTTGGTTTGTGATGATACTTTCATTTATTTATTTTATGTAGGAGGCATCATCATTGTTCACAATTGATGACAATGCACCATCAACAACAGAGGGTCAAGCAGAAGTTGATAAGCAACAAGCTACTGAAATCCCGAGCCTCATTAGTGTAGTTGACCTTATAACTGCAGTAAGCATTAGGAACATTGCAAGTAGGTTAACATGCAGAACAAAAATCATATTATTAAAATTACTCATTTTGAAAATTCAGGTGTCTGAAACAACAAATCAAGTTGGTAGATCATCAGTCTCAACACCACCTCACATACCTTACATGGAAATGGCTGGCCATTGTGAAGCTCTTTCTACCGGAAAGCAGCAAAAGATGTCTATTGTATTGGCCGTCCATCAGAGGCAAGAAAGCTTGGTAAAAATATCGGTCGTTGAGCAAAACAAGCCCAAACATAATCCATTTGATCTTCCCATTGAACAGGTCTTCTCTCCTGACCTTCTTTTTCCATGGATGGTGGCTCCTATTTTAGACCTATTTTTGTTTTCTCTTATAGTGGGAAACTAGAGATGTAAGGGTGATAAATTTGTAGATAAATTACGAGATTTTAACTCACTAGAACTTCAATCTTACCTTGTAAACTTCTTCAAATGCAGAGTGGAAACCCATTCATCAACCAAAACTTCTTTGAAGATTTGCAACATGCATCTAGTGCAAGTGGCACAATGCTTTGTGGAACTGAGTATCAACATCACCAATACTTCCACTTGCCAGCATCTAATCCATATGATAATTTTCTTAAGGCCGCTGGATGTTAAAGACTCAAAGAATGCATGCATCAGATAAAGTTGCGGAACCACCAGAAATGATGCTTCGAGATAACGTTATAGACATACGCAAGAGCATCTTTGTAAACTACCAAAAGGTTGTGTTGACATCAATAGGGAAATGAAGAAAAGATGCATCCTTATGGGAAGAGATTGCTCCTTAAGAGAATCAATAGTCATTATTGATTGCAGATTGACAATCAGGTGTCGTTTTGATGAAATCGATAATGCCGACTAACGTCAGAGTAATAAGCTTGACCTGATATAATAATGGCATGATTTAGAAGGGAAGTGGTTTCTTTAAATGTTATGTGTAAGAAATGTGCACCTTGACTAATATAAAGCTATCATTCATTTGGTTATTGTAAGAAATGGGCTACATTGCAAGTTTGGTCATTTGAATTACTAGTTAAGTTCACTTTAGCCACTGGACTTACTTTATTCCATCCTTAGTCACTTAAATTAGGTTAACCGTCCAAGTTTGGTCACCGGCCGTTAGTCTCCGTTAACTTTTGCTGATGTGGCGGTCAACTCTCATAGTTGACCGTTAAATGAGTGACGTTGCGGTTAAAAAATTAAAAAAAATTAATTTAGTTATCTAAAATTTCCTCCTCATTATTGCAACTATTACAAAATTAAAATAAAAAATAACTTTTTCTAATCTAACCTCCGCTGCAAACACTAGGCCCTGGGACATTTCGGCGAACACCTGGGAGACAGAAGGAGGGAACGCGCCGCTGATTGAGACCAGAGTTTTCATTGGTGGGTTTTTCCCAGAGAGGGCAGAGGTGAATTGGGGTACCAATTATTTGTTGGATGGAGTGACATTGAGCTTGTATGTGGTGGGTTCGCGTAAGATCACTACAACAAATTCGACCTATTATGACGAGCCATTTTTGTCATATTGGATACTCATTTTGTCATATTAGGAATAATATGACAAAAGGTGTTGTCACAAAGGTTTATCATTTTATCGCCGTCAGGATAGGTCAAATGTGACAAAAATTTAAAACAAGGTTGTCACATTTGCTTTCAGTATATCTGTGGTTCAGGGTAGTCTATTGTGACAAATAGAGATGTTATGAGAACATATTTTGTCATTACGATTGTCATAATCTTGTGATTTTGGGAGAATTGTTCGTCATATTACACGATAAAATTTTGTCGCAACTGTATATTGTGACGACTACATGTTGTCACAAGTGTTTATTGTGACAAAATTATTTTGTCATAACTGAATATTACGATGAATATATTTTGTCATAACTGCTTATTATGACGAGTATAGGTTGTCAGGAAAGGTGGTTTATTTGTCTCATGCCTAATATGACAAGAGAACAATTTGTCATGCAATGTACATAATGTGACGACATGACTTTGTTGCCACATTTGACCTACTTAAAAAACTTCATAATTCGAAATTGTTTCCTACATTGCAACCTAATAGTGGAAAGATTACCAAAGATCCAAAACTTTACAACCATTTCGATAGTAGACTAACTCCTTGTTCAACATAACCAAACATTCTAAGTTGTCCACCATGACACAAAACATTCTAACTCCTTTGCGGATCATGGGTTCTCCTTCGGTCCATACTTCACCTTTTCATCAGGACCTTCTAAAAAATCTCATGGCCTGGTACATGCTTCCCCTCTGCCTTTGCTTCTATCCAATTGGACTGCATTGTCGGGCTTTACAGTGAAGATCCTCTGCTATGAATCTTTGCAGGAGAGGAATCCAGATCGTCGACAAAGTATCCTCTATTTATCTCATCTCTATTGCCCATGATCACGTGGCATCCGTTATCAACTAACCACAATGAACTACAGTAAGAAAAAACCAATGAAGGATAAAAAGTTGAAAACTTACATCCTATCACGCTCTTTCTCAATAGTTGCTTTGTTCCCAAGCTGCAATTCCCATTGTTTTGGACTTCTTCAATCCAACATCGAGTTCCAATAGCAAGATATTATAGAAAGAGCAGAGTTGAAATTCTTCATAATTTTCTTTTAGGAAGGAGGGACATGAATACCTTATAGAAGTCAAGGAAGCGAACAAAAGCCACCTGAGGCTGGCTCCTCAAGTCAATGATGATACGGTGATGAGATCGAGCCTTTGACTTCACATGAGAACAATGAAGCTCTGGTCGAACGGACAAGAATTGTGAACCTATTTGCTCTAAGAATTTTCTTGGATTAGATTTTGATGCTCCTGGTTTTCACACTTTGAAAAACGCCATCATGTGCCAGGAAAATTTAGGTCAAAATGTAAACCATGTTCTTAGTTTCAGGTTCTGAAAGTTCTTTCCTATACCAGGAAAATTTGATCATGGCAAGACAAATGGAAAGCTAAAATGTAGATATCACATAAGCCAAGAAGCTTAAGCAATTTGTACAAGTGACGAAAACAATAATGACTTTGTAAACGAGTATATAAGGAACATTAACAATCATTAGTAGTTGTAACGAAGCTAGAAAAATAGTACATGACATAATAAACCAGAAAAGCTACATTAAAACAGCAGCAAACCAAAAATTAAAGCAACTGAGTAATACAATGATCCCACACAGTTTCCACATATCATACATCTGTGAGCAGTAACACATTTGTGAAGTAATCAAATAATATTCAAAAGGTGCTAAGATTCATCAAAATATTCAAAACTTGAAAATAAAAGCTAGGTAATGGACGACCATTACCAATTGGTGCCTCAAAACCAACAACTCAAATTTGTGCTTGGTAACAGAAATCAGTCATAAAACTGTAGTTCAAATAGAAGTGAGAGTCAACAAACTGTAGATAACAAGGTAATCGTTTCAAGTAAGAATGTACATAGTCAAATCAGTCCATAGGTGTATGCTGACACTTCATTATAAAAAAAATTCACTCATCAAACTAAAACAAAAAAGTAATAAAATACTTCATATCTAAGAGCTTGGTTAGTAACTTGTACCGTTGAGGATTTTTCAGTAAGTGATTAGACAAGTAAATGATGGGCAGTGTTAATCTACGTAAGAAAACAAAAAGAAAGGAGCTTGAATCAATTAGCCAACAAAACAGAGCAATCAGGGTTGAATCTCACTTACTGCCAATTGAGACATCATAAAAGGAGTTGGTAATCTATTCTTACATGGCTACCTGTCTATAATGGAAAAAGTAGAGTTTATTATTAATTTACAATGATGACTTATGATTGCCAGAAGTTATAAAGGCTACCTTAGCCATTTTCCTTCTTCATTGTTCTGGGCCAGACATTGGTTTAGTGATTTGTTCTTGTGGGGTTACCTAGCTACAAGAAACCATTAGACAAGACAACTTACAACAAATGATTAATCTTCTTCACTGGATCTGCTTCTCTTACACCAAATGACCATTTTCGGTATAAGAAAAAGCATTACTTTTGGTTGTTCCCTACTAGTGAAAGCAAAAAGTAATCTATAAAATAACAAAAGAAAAACAAGCATGATATTGATATCAATTATAGGTGTCTCACAAAATAAAAGAAGGAAAAACAAGCTTGATATCAAAATCCACAACTTTATAGCTCCGCCAGGACAAAGAAAATGCGGAAGCTTGATTATACCTACTAGCATTGGTGGAAAATCTCCATCAAAACACCTACTGGATACCCTTCGGTGTAAATTATGTCCATTATTTATACCTCCAAGAGCTCTCACAATTGGTGTTGTCCAGGGACTGCTACTCTAAAAAAAAGAACATAAAAGCAATTTACGACCACTAATCAATCAATCCCAAACTTCTAAAAAAATGGGAGGCACCACACCAAATGGAGAGAGGATTTTGGGGACGGTGATGAGCAACGGTAGTAGTGGGAGACCTGAAGTCAGCTTGAAGCAGCAAAGAGCTGTGAGCGATTTGGTGGGTCCAGAAGAGAGGTGCACAAAACCCTTTCTTTGCTTGGCTAGCCTCATAACAAATCAACTCCCTAGACTGCGATAACTGGAATGGTGGTTTGGATCTTCCGAGAGAGGTGACCATCGGAGCTTGCGATTGAGAGGTGAGGTACGCCAGGGTGGACGGTGATGAAGAAGCGAAATGACATGCGGGAACAATGCAAAATCTGGAGAGAGATATCGAGAACAATTCAGATCTGAAGTGGTAGAGATGGTGGCAAGGGAACCGAGGATTGCATGTCGAATTAGAGCACCCTTAAACGGGTTGCGGCGGTGGAAGGGTGAGAGGGTTTCTAAGAAGATAGTGTTGGATAAGGAATCAGCGATGGCGAGAACCAACAAAGTGGTGGGGAAAAATCGGCAGGGGAGAGGGGAGGAAACATAAATAAATTAAGCAAGTTATTTTTCTTTATGGTGGGAAACGCCAAATTTTTTTTTCATTTATTGGGGGAGAGGAGATTCAACTTTTGGGGTTGAAAATTGGGAGGGATTGAAAATTGGGCAGGACTGAAATTTGAGTTTTTTTATGGTGAATTTTGTTTGTTTGTTTTTATGTTAATACACAGGCAAATATGATGTAAATGCCTTTTGTCAAAAACAAAACCACTATATATTGACGAACATGCATTTTGTCAAAGCCGTAACCACTATATTGTGACAGACATACCCTTTTGTCAGCTCGCCGTGGGGTTATTGTTATCTATTGTGACAAAATATTTTGTCATTTTAACAATTCAGGAAGACACAATATGAAAAAAGCTACTTCGACGATATAATTTGTCACTTTTGTGTCTATTGCATCCCGATATAGGATGCTTATTGTGACAAACTTAATTGTGACACAGAATATTTTGTCACATTACTCACTTGAAATGACGACTTATTCTGATAACAATTTTTTTGTCACATTAGGCAAACCAAATAGGACATATATTATTTTTGTCATATAACCGTACCTATTGTAACAAACAAAAAATGATCAAATTGAAAATTTGTCCTAATAGGCCGAATTTGTTGTTGTGGATGAAGGCGTAGTAGACATGAGTGAAGTGGGAGGTGTTGATGGCGGAGGGAGGGAAATCGGAGAAGGATTCCTAGTAGGCTGCTCTGATTATTCCTGGCGGTGAGGGGTTGGATGGTCGCTGCGCGGCTGATGGAGCTTGGACGGCGGTCGGAGTAGGGGCGAGAGCTGGGCTTGAGGTTGGAGAAACAGAGTGGGAAGTGTTGATCATGAGGTTGAAGATAGTGAGAAGGAGAGCGATTGGTGCGAGTTTGGCAGAGGCTATGATTTGGGAGGAGGGAAAGATTTAGTGGATGGTTTGTGGAAGGCCGGGACTGCAGAAATTTATAGTGAAGAGAATTGGCATTAGTATAATTGATACCCTATTTGCTTGTCATTCTCCGACATGATTTGGGAGCATGACACCCTCTTCTCTTGCATTCACTGCTACCTTTACC